AAAAAAAAAAAAGAAAAGAAAAAAAGAACATGTTATTATTTTTTTAAAAAAATTTATTTTTTAGTTTTAGGTGGACACAATATCTTTATTTTACATTTATGTGGTGCTGAGGATGGAACCCAGTGCCTCGTGCATGCCAGGCGAGCGCTCTACCACTGAGCCACAGTCCCAGCCCCATAAGCTTTCTTACTTCTGAACTTCAATGCACAATATGGCCCTCTGCCTCCTTGGGATACACTCTCTCCTGGTGGTCCTCATCTCTTTCCAGTTTTCCCTTCTGCTTCCTGGCGTTCTCCTCATCTACCATCTCACATCAATATTCCTGTTTGCCCGGGATGTCAGCCTCAGTCTTTTTTTCTCTGAAACCTCTGGCTAGATCTCATCCAATTCCCACCTTCTGTTATCTGTACAGGGCTTGCCCACAAACAGGTCCAGTTGAATCTCCTTATTTAATAGATTAATATTCCTAACTCCCAGTGGGTGTGTCCTCCTGAATTTCAACAGGGACTTTATGCATCTTTTTTTTTTTAAAGATGCATAAAGGAGTACTAGGAATTGAACACAGGGACATTTAACCACCGAGACACATCCAAGCTCCTTTTATATATTATTTATAGGCAGGTTCTCACAGAGTTGCTTAGGGTCTTGCCAAGTTGCTGAGGCTGGCTTTGAACTTGTGATCCTCCTGCCTCAGCCTCCAGAGCCTCTGGGATTACAGGTGTGCACCACTGCACCCAGCTCTTCATGCATCTTCTTGGTTTTAAAAGCAGTTTCTTTCCCCTGCATTCCCCACCTTAGTATAATCTACTGCTATCTCCTAGCTGCTAAGGCTAGAAGCTCCTTCTTCTTTCCTCTCCAAATGCCTAAATCATCAAATCTTAGTCAATCTTTTGTAATCCCCTCAAATTCATCACTTCATCTGTCTATTACTACCACTACCTTAGCTGAGGCCACCTTCAGCTGTATCAAAAACTCAGCTACAATTCAATTTACAGTACCAATTCTATGGTAGATTTTCTGGAAGCAGGCCTATAGCTGGAGAATTTTCAAGAGGCTGTGAATTGCTTGATTTTCTTTAAGACTATTCTGAAAGTAGAAAACTCCTTATGTACCTGACATGTTTGAATTTTTATCCAAACATTTTTTAACATTTAAAAAAATGGGTAATACTTTGCCCTAGATTCTCCAACCAATAAAAACATTCCAAAAAAGTTTCATTAGGCCTAGGAAGTTTGGCCTTCAAAGAATAGTAGTAGAATTGTCATCTTTGCCCTGTTACCAGAAATGCTGTCAATAATGCTGTCACTAAACTGCGTGTGAAAGGCACTGGTGAATTCCTCATAGCCCTCCCAGACCATAGTGAGGACTAGATTGGGTAGCCTGGCTCTGTTGGGCAAATCCCAAAGACGGCTGCCCCAAAAGCCAGCTGTGTCCTAACAAGGCCTGGCCCCAGGCTGGGTGAGGGGGAGTGGTGGGTCAGCTGCTCTTCCTCCTGAGTGGGTGCACAGGCAGCTATCTGCACCGCCTTTTGTTTCCTCCTCTTATGGAGCCTGGGGGAGAGTCTGTGGAGCTCTTTCATGGCCAAAGCCCAGAGCCTGTGTTATGTGGCAGTCTTGGGAGAAAGAACATGAGGCCAAGGCCTGTTCTCAAAGGCTCACTTTTGACAGGAAACCAGAAAAGATTAAGCATGAAGGGCTTCCATTGTCTCATACCAGCCAAGAAAGGATAGGCCTGGGCTAGCCAGTGTTCCTGACTTCTGTCACCATGCCCCTTACAGACCCTGTGAGCACTCTACTCCACTGTCACAGCATAAAGGGCAGCAGTAGCCAGAAAAGGGAGAAGGGTAAAGGCAAGGCATGTTTCTTTCTACTAAGTTAGGGACCTGTGAGCTACCTTAACCATGACATGTACAGGCTGTCCTCAAATCCCAGAACCACGGGGGGTCTTGGGTGTCTTTAGCATTTTAAGTTGGTTGGCATCTTGCTTTTAAATCTGCCTTAGTTTCAGTTCAGAGTAAACAATTCTTGGGGTGGAAAGGCCCTGACATGGAATGTCAGACTACTAAATGGCTCTACCACACTGGAAAGTTATTCACCCTCTGAGAACTTTGGGCTGCATTTTTGAAAGCAAATTTCAATGAATGAGATGCTGAGTATAAAGATGCTGTCACTACACATTTTAAGTCATTGCTGCTTCTGCCTATAATTGAGTGTAGGTCCCAAAGATCCCATCACTCTAGACAGTGAGGCCCTAAAGAGAGACCATGGAGCCTAAATTAATTTGTTGGGGTTATAGTCCATTTTCTGTTGCTATAACAAAATACCTGGGGTTGGGTTCTTTAGATGTTTGAGTCACGATTCTGGTGGCTAGAGGGCCCCAATGATCTGGTGCTTGCATCCTGGCAGTGTCATAATATTGTGGAGAAGCAGAAAAGGAATCAGCCACATGCAGAAGGGCCAAATATGTGGGATGGGTTCACTTTTATTACCAGCTCTTGCTAGAACTAATTCAATGAGACTAACAATTCCTTCTGAGAGGTTAATGACCTAATTATCTGAAGGGATGATTAACGACCTAGTTATCTTATACAAGGCCCTACCCCTTAAAGTTTCCACCTCCTCTCAACATGTCCATATTGGGTCCAATATGAACCTTTGAAGGACACAACTTCCAGCACGTGAAACTTTGGGAGACATATCTCAAACTATCCAGACCACGGCAGGCCCCACAACAAAGCACTGCAGACTAGGGGGTTAAACCCTGGAAACTTATCTTGTCCCTGTTCTGGAGGCTAGAAGTTCAAAATCACAACGTATCGGGAAGTTTGGTTTCTTCTTAGCCTCCCTCCTTGGCTTGCAGATCGCCACCTCACATACCTGGTCATCCCTTTGTGTTCTAACCCTCTCTTCCTATAAAGACACAAGTCATTCTGTATTGGGCCTACTTTAATGACCATTTTAACTTAATCATTTCTTTAAAGGCTCTCTCTCAAAATACTGTCACATTATGAGGTATTGTGGGTGGGGGATTCAAGATACAAATAATAGGAGGGTGGGTAGGTGCATAATTCAGCCCACAACAGTGCCTGTTCTGAAAATCCCTGCAAGACTTGGGACTGAAAACTGGGGACTTCCCATTAGGAGAGGCCACAGGCCCCCTGTTCTCTTCTTTGGTTTTACACTCCTTCCGAAAGGCAAAGTTTTCAAAAATGTTTCTGCTTGTTTCTTCTCCCCTCTGTGAAGCCTCATCAATCTTATGTTTTACCTATCAACTGTGTTGAGACAAAACAACACAGAAACACTGGTTTTAAATAAACCGTGATCAAGACGGTACACGATCTGCAAAGTCCTGGCTCACTGCTCTAGTTGAACAGGACCAGTCCTGACTTCCACTCACTTGGTGCAGGAATTCTTTCTTGAGCTAACTCGTTCCTGTCCTCACAGCTTCTGGGGCTTGCAGTTGACATCAGGGGAGGTGAGAGGGAGATGTTCTGTCTTCCATTGGTTCAATGCTGCCCAGTAGCTTGAACTTTGAGGGCTTTAGGCTGGATAATTCTCAAATATCTACACAGAACTCATCTGTTTCTCAGGATGTCTTCCAGGAAGAGTCTCATGCTGTGGACAAAAGCAAGGAACAATACCACCAGGATCTAGCTCTCAGAGAGTGGCCTGGGTTATGGAGGCTGGTGAGGTCCAGGTCTACCACTCATTTGTTGCTGCACAATTGTACCCAGGCCAGGAAAACAGCACTGGGTGAGTTTACAGGATATCAGCAAGACATCAGATCCTTTCTTCACCTCTGCTTCATTCCTACCTGGAATTGCCCGTGTCATTATTTGGCCTAGTAGAATTGGGATTCCACCCCCCATTGGTATATAAATAAAATTTTATCCATCTAAGGGAAAACCAATATTCACTTAAGGCTGCTGAATCTACATTGTGTTTATTTTACTCTATACCGTTAAAAAGGCATCAAATAAAATTATAGCCAGGAATATACATAAGGAATACAGATTAATAATATAGTAACAAAAGTTAAAAAAAAAGCAATCTTTTAGGAGTCCTATAATTTACTTGAACCTACAGAAAATCAATACCACCTCTATTGTTATGGCAAATGTATGCAAACAGTATCAATCTGTACAACTTAAAAAAATTACATTTGGCAGTGTCCTTTACTTGTTGCCCAATCACATTTCCTCTAAACCCAATGAAAACATCAGCAGGAGGATAGGCTTCCATATTTGTAGCTACATCTCTAATCATGATTATTTTCTTGAAGTAGAAATTTTCTTTTAAAAATTTAGTATTTTTCCTTTCCCACCAGATTGGACTGTTGGCTGTGTCTCATCAAAACCTGTGTAGTCCTATTAAAGTAGAATTTCAGCCTATTGGCAGATATATTGGTTGCTGGCATATTGAGCTTTGAAGTAACATGCTCTACAATACTTCTAAAGCCATCAGATATTGGGAAAATCTGAACGTTTCATATTTGTAGGCAATTTACCATCTACCTTTGTGTGTGTGTGTGTGTGTGTGTGTGTGTGTGTGTGTGTGTGTGTGTGTCAGATGGGGCAGTGGTGCTCTGAGAGCCTTGGCACCTGCTTCCTGGAGGGCTGGATCAGTGCTAAGTCCTCAGTGAGAACAGCTTTGAAGGCAATAACCCACCTAGGCTTGTGTCATTTCTGACACTAAACTCCACAGAATTTGGCCAGCTTATCAATTTCTTCTTCTTGGATAACTGTGATATCAACATCAAAACACACTGCATCAGTGGGTGCACTATGCCTGTAATCGCAGGGGTTGGGGAGGCTGAGGCAGGAGGATTGCAAGTTCAAAGCCAAAGTCAGCACTTTAGCAACGCCCTGAGCAACTTAGCAAGACCCCATCTCAAAAAAAAAAAAAAAAAAAAGGACCTGAGGATGTGGCTCAGAGATTAAACAACCCACAACCCTGGGTTCAGTCCCCGGTACCAAGAAACAATCAACATACTGCATCAGATGAACTGAAAGAGGGATACAATCCTTGTTAGAATTTCCTCCAATTTCTCCAATGCTGGATTCCTATAAGACAGTGTGCTTTTCTTCCTGCTCCTTTCCCGAGTAAAACTGCAGCATAAAGTTCTGCTTACAAATTAAAAAGATCTATGTGTTCTTTAGGAGCCAGCGGCACTGTAGCGTCTGGGCGCATCCCCACCCCCTTGCTCCTGTGGGTGCAACTCTTGGGCTTCCGGGGCAAGCTCAAATGTTGAGGTAGGTGACTAGGATAGGAAAGCAGGGCCCTTACCAAAAGCTCTTACATATGTTGATACTTGAGGCAACTCACACCAGCTTTGCACGTTCCCAGACTGCAGGCAATTGACCTCAGCTTGGCATAAGACCAGGCTCCAAAGGGGTTCACTGAGCCCGCATTGGGGTTTTGAAGAAAATTAACATGGGGGACGGATCAACCGATATCCAGCAAAAATCCAGAAAAGGTCCAAACAAAGTACTACTGAAAATTCAAAGGGGTTAACACGCACATACCTCAGGTGTACCCAGGAACAATTAACAAGACTTGGACGCGGGAGATAATGAGGCACCTGATGATACTGAACAGAGCATCAGTTATCCGACACACGAAGCACCACTACACCCAACACTAGTGGGTGAAGGTACCACGCAAGTGGCCAGGGACTCACTCGACCCGTAGCTTTATCATAAGTATCCCCAACTCTAGCCAGCAAAAGTCTGGAAAAAGTTTAGGGGCGACTTCCCAGAGAGGACAGGGAGGACATTTCCGGCGGGCCGGGTGGAGCAGAGAGGTCTCAGGCAAGGGCCACGGCAGCCCAGCCCAACCCGGCCCTGCAGCCGAGGGCTGCGGACCGCGAATCCCGAGCGTCCCCTAGTGACTCAACCGCGGGATGAGGTCGCTAGCGCCCCTCCTTCCGCCCTGGGCGACACCATAGCCAGAGGCTGCCGGTTGCTGAGAGGGTTCCAGGGAGGCGAACGGAGGAGAGCATTAGGGTGCGACCATCCTAGGGCGGTGCGCGCCGCACAAGAAATGAACCGGGGGTCCGGAAAGGCTGGCTGGGCTCTCCGGCCGCTGTGCGACCTTTCCCTTCCTTCCCTCCACCCCTTGGCCCCGGAGGACGAGACCACCGCCTGGAGAGCGGAGGAAGAGCGGTGCAGCTCCTTCCGAGTGCCGCCGTGGGTGGCTCTGAAAAGAGCCTTTGGATGCGATGGAACCTCGAGGCGGGCGAGAGCCCGACTTCTTAAGCCCGCTCCCCGCGGATGCGGCGGGCCAGCTGGATGTCCTTGGGCATGATGGTGACGCGCTTGGCGTGGATGGCGCACAGGTTGGTGTCCTCGAACAGCCCCACCAGGTAGGCCTCGCTGGCCTCCTGCAGCGCCATGACGGCCGAGCTCTGGAAGCGCAGGTCGGTCTTGAAGTCCTGCGCGATCTCGCGCACCAGCCGCTGGAACGGCAGCTTGCGGATCAGCAGCTCGGTGGACTTCTGGTAGCGCCGGATCTCGCGCAGCGCCACGGTGCCGGGCCGGTAGCGGTGGGGCTTCTTGACGCCGCCGGTGGCCGGCGCGCTCTTGCGGGCCGCCTTGGTGGCCAGCTGCTTGCGCGGCGCCTTGCCACCGGTCGACTTGCGCGCGGTCTGCTTGGTTCGGGCCATGGCGGACAGAGGCACTAGCTCTCCGGCGCGGCGGCAGGGACAGTGACCTGGTTCCCCCCCGCCACCGCAGTCTTTATAGGCACAGTCTTTTCCCGATTGGGCGGGGAGAAATTGAAAAAGTCCCGCGCAGGCCGTCCGTTGGCTGTGACGTCACCCGCACCAGCCTCCGCGGTTGGCTCGGGCGGGACCCGGCGCCCCGAGCGCCCCACGCCCCCTGCGCGGCCTCGCCTGCCCGGTCCGCTCTGCCCGCGCTCTGCCCCCCTCGTCTTCTTTCCCTCGCTCTCGCTGCGTGGACGTCGTCTTGGGTCGCTGCTCCGTCCGTCCGACGGTTCCTTCCCTCTTCGGCCCTTCGTCCCCTTGGAGCACGCTGCCCGCGACGCCCTCCTCCTCACGCTTTGTGGCTCCCGAGTCGAGCCTCAACTTTTACATGACCCCCGTCCCCGAACGCCTAGTCCCGCCTCCCTCCCGCTCCCGGGTGGCTTCGGGGCGGATCGTTCGTGCTTCTCGGGTGGGAGGGTTGTGTCCCCTCCGGGGCGCCAGATTCCGCCTCTGGAGGCCTAGGTGGGTAGCTCCGTCGCTACTTAGAAGTCCACGAGGCCAGCTCAGTGAGGAGGCCAAGACGACCCAGGCCCGCCGCGCTCGCCTGCAGCAGACAGGGCTTGCGCTGGTGACTACGTCCCCTAGGGGCTACCGGGCCTCCTTTGGGCGGAGGGGGGGTCCCTCAAGAGCCCGAGAGAACGTGTGTGGGGTGGGGAGTGGTGTCACATACTGGTGGGAGCCACCGCCGCGGCGTTCGCGTTACTGACCGGGGCTGCCCGTGGCGCGGCGTCCGGTGCCCGTCGTGCTGGGCTCCAAGACTCACGGCCCACCCGGCAGGGGCCGGCAGATTCCAGGCTCAAGCCTCGGAGAGAACGGCCGGGAGCACGAGGCGAAGGGCTCTCCCTGTGCTCGCCCGCCGGCCGGCCGTCCCCTCCGGGTCACCGCCTACTACGCGGCGGGGGCGGTTACTGTAACAACTCCTTTCACTTGAGGGTGTGGGTGGCTCTGAAAAGAGCCTTTGATCTCACAGGCACCCCCTTCGGGGCGCGCGGGCTGCGGTGGGCGGCTACCGGACGCCTGTCCCACCTCACTTCCCCTTTGCCTTGTGGTGACTCTCCGTCTTCTTCGGGAGCAGCACGGCCTGGATGTTGGGCAGGACGCCGCCCTGGGCGATGGTCACTTTGCCCAGCAGCTTGTTCAGCTCCTCGTCGTTGCGGATGGCCAGCTGGAGGTGACGGGGGATGATGCGCGTCTTCTTGTTGTCGCGGGCCGCGTTGCCAGCCAGCTCCAGGATCTCGGCCGTCAGGTACTCGAGCACCGCCGCCATGTAGACGGGCGCGCCGGCCCCCACCCGCTCGGCGTAGTTGCCCTTGCGCAGCAGGCGGTGCACCCGGCCCACCGGGAACTGGAGGCCAGCGCGCGAGGAGCGCGACTTGGCCTTGGCGCGGGCCTTGCCTCCCTGCTTGCCACGGCCGGACATGACAGCGACAGTCGACACGACCAGCTCCCGCCTGAACACCCGGAAAGTCGCGGCAGACGGCGCCGCTTCACCCTTTTATAGGCAGAACGGCGATTGTCCATGGTGTGCTCTCATTGGCCAAAGCACAGTTTTGCCCCGGTGACCAATAGGAGAGCTCAGTCAGAATCCATTCATTTACATAATCTCGTCTCCCTGGCCTCCGCGCCGCCGAAAGCCCGCGAATCACAGCGTGGCGCGATCGCGACCTTAATTTGCGTACCGCCGCCATAAGTACGCGGTCGTTTCCGGTGCGCCCCTGCGCTTCTCCTGCGCTGCGCTTCTCCTGCAGCGATAGCCTTCCCGGTCTCCAGCTGCCCGCGCTTCTTGCCTCTTGCTTCTCGCCATGCCGGAGCCGGCCAAGTCCGCTCCGGCCCCCAAGAAGGGCTCCAAGAAAGCCGTCACCAAGGCCCAGAAGAAGGATGGCAAGAAGCGCAAGCGCAGCCGCAAGGCTTCCAAAGGCTCTTTTCAGAGCCATCCCACCTTTCAGTGAAAGAAGCTGTTTTTCCGCTGTTGCTTACACCATCACCCCATTCACCTGCATCTGCACGACAAGGGTAGAAGGGCCCCGTGGAACCGTAGTTGATAGTGTGTGCGTGTTTTACACACAGATGCCTTTTCCAACGTGAATGGTTTTTGATGGTTACTGGTCATAGACCAATGTTGGTGTACTTGAGGAAACGGGGAGGGTGTTAAGCAGTTAAGCAGTTACACTGGGGCAGTACTAGGATATAATCATTTTTTCTTGGTTCACAAACTGATGTAAAGGTATATAGCAATTGTTAGATGACGTTCCATCACTTGTGAACTTTGGGATACCTTTTTTGAGGGGTGGGTCCAGGGGATTTAATTCGGGCACTCAACCACTGAGCCACATCCCCAGCCCTATTTTGTTTTATTTAGAGATAGTTTCACTTGCTGAAGTTGCCTTTGAACTTGTGATCCTCCTAACTCAGTCTATCCAGTTGCTGGGATTACAGGCTTGTCGCTGTGTACCTGGCCTCCCTGGGTACCTTGATTGTGATTGAAGTAATTTGTAAAAATGCCTCTTAAGTTTGGTATTTTAGGTAAATAGAATCAATAAGAATTTATTGCTCGTAATCAAGACGTAAAACACTGTTAGAATAATACACCCATCTTTCCCCAGAAATGTTTCCAACGCTAAATATAAAATTAGCTTCATTTTCAGAGCACTCAATATAGCATAGGTCTTCATTTTTTTTCTTTTTACTTTAAAGTACATTTAAAGAGCAGCCACATAAGAACAGAAGATGAAGTTCTGAAATAAAGGTATAAAACTGTTGAACATCCTGCAACAGCCTATATCTATCCTCCTGCTTTTGCTCATTTTTTTCTTAGATAATTATCTATCTTGAGGCATGATATACTTCCTCTCTGCCCATCAAACTAAAAACATAACTTATTTCCTAGTTATTGTGCAAAATCCACATACCTTCACTGAAAAAACAAAAACCAAAAAAATTCCAAAGCTTAGTCCCCAGGAAATACTTCCTGCCTTTGCTTGTGCCTTAGCTTTTTTTTTTTTTTTTTTTTCCTCTCCTCCATTCCTCCATTGCTAGGGACTGAAGGCACTACCCCCAGCATGCTGCACCCCCAGTCCTAGATTGTGCCTTATGTGGCTTTCCTGAGTAACAAGACAGATTGCCAAAGCCTCAAAATTTTGGTGAAAGTAAGGACATGGGAGTGAGGAGGAAAGGCTATAAGGATAGTTTGAGCTCTCAGAGTAGGAATATAAATTCATTTTAAGAGAGACAGGATTTGGGGTTAAAATCTAATTATATATGGAGAAGATAGTGATCAACTTTTAGGTCTGGGGACACAGAATATGGGTAAGATAACAAAAAAGAGTTAATCTTGAAAGAGGGGGAGAGAGACTCAATGCAATTATATAATCCCATCACCAAAATTCATACTTACAGTTGTGAAAGCAAAACTAACCTTTGGTTAAGACTCTGTTAAGAATATTTGTGCACATTATTTCCCACAATAAGGGAGAAAAGGAGGGGAAAAAGTCACAACACTTTTCATACTGACATAGGACATGTTAGGAATACAGCAGTAAAAAGAGTAGAAAAAAGTCTGTCTCCATAGGACTACATTCCAGTTGATGGATAAATGAAAATAAGCAAAGAAATGTATAACAGTCAAAGGGTGATATGTACCATGAAATAAAAGAGAATATGAAATGGAATGAACGTTATGGAGCTGGGGCCTTCTGAGAAACTGAGGAAGACCCCCTCTTCAAACCCTGATTCGTTAGATCAAGTCAGAAAGACTTCAGGAGTAACAGAAATATGAGTTTGTTAAAGAGGTAGGAAAAGAAAGGGACACTCCCAAGGGACAGAGTGGGTCCTCTCAGAGAGGAGAGGGACAACATGCCTCTCCTACACATTTTATTGGGGATCCCAGAGAAGTTTCCAGAGAGTCTTACCCAAGTCCACTTGGCTTTTGACTGATATCAGGGTGACATCAGACTTTCAAGTATCCACTGCCATGGCAATTTTAGGTCACCTTGGCCCATGCTGAATGGTTCTTATTGGATTCTGAAACATACATTCTGACAGATTTTATGGTTAGGAAGAAGTATTCTTATCTCCCCGAGTTTCAGGATCTGGTCACAAAAGTCTTCCCTTCAGGATAACCTGGGTTCCTCTTTTCAATATAATTTGGGGCCTGCATTTCTCCTACAGTGAACAGGTAGTTTGCTGGAGAATGTGACACACCCTATCCACTTAGGCCAGGCAGGACTACAGACAAATTGCTTTTCGGAAAAGAAAGCCTGTGGGGAGCTGTTGCAAGCCAGCCATGGGCTGTGTGCGTGAGCTATGAGCATTGGAGCACATGAAGGGACTCGGCTGACATTGCTGCTCTGACTGGGCTGTGTGATGTCCTTTTCCCTGGCTCTGAGATGGGTGTGGCTTTTCCAGATGTCAGTCAATCTGCTAACTGCAGACATCACCAAGCAACCCCCTGAAACCCAAACCCTTGCCTTATTTGTAGTGAACTTTCTTTGAGTGTCTTTCCTCCTAATAAATAGGGCTTCAGGCATGCTCTCTCTTTGGCCTGCCTCTCTTGCCTCCCTTGTGGGAGCTGGGGCAAAGGAGCCATCACTGAACCCCAAGAAAAAGGTACTTTTTGTGTTTCTGTGATTATTTACTGCCAGCCCAATTCACCTGGAGTGACCCTGACTGATTTATTCATGAGTTGTGACAGGGAACAGCACAGTGGACCCATTTTATGGAATTATTCTCTTAACCTCATGTTCCCAGTATCCTCATCTGTCTATTCCCTAAATGGGAATAGCAAATCTGATCAGTTAGTATCTGAGACCCAAGAAGAGAGTTGAGAAATTGATGTGACTCCATTTATTGAGAAACCAGCCTCTACCTCAGAGCAAAGCCTGTCCAAGGAAGGGGGCGTGACCCTTGCCCTAGGAAAAATCCACAGAGCACTCTTAGGCACATACCCACCCTGCTGAGTTGTTTGTCTGTAAATAACAGGAGAGATCTGCAGCACCAGGTGTCCCTGACTCAGTCAGGCTAGGTGAGGGCCCATAGCAACCCCCTAGCAACCACCAATCAGCGTGAGACAGGGAAATACCTGGGATGCCAGATGACCTTCCGGTAGTTTATGGTGGTTGATAGCATGTTGAGAAAACATATAGTTTAGCATGTACACTCCTCATGGCTTAAACCAATCAGTTCAAAGGAATCCCCCTCTTGTACTAATCAATCATCCCTACCCAAATTGTTCCCATCAGTGAATGTGCTAATCAGTGTTAATTTGAACAATTTCATTCCCCTTTATACCTTTCCCTTCCCCTCCCCTCCTTCTCCCCCTGATCTTCTGACTCTAACAATCCCCTTCTATTTGTATTATTATTTTAATTAGTGCATTATATGTAAAAGTTGTATTCATCATGGTATATTTGTGTATGAACAAAGCATAATTTAGTAGATTTGGTTCCCCAGTGCGTGCCCTTGCCTCTTTCCTCCCTCTTGATCTACTTTATTGGTCTCCCTTTATTTTAGTCAGCTTTTCATTGCTGTGACCGCAAGACCTGACAAGAGATATTGGCAGGAGGAGTTTATTTTGGCTCACTCTTTCAGAAATTCAATCCATGGTCAGCTGACTCCATAGGCCTGGGCCACATGGTGAGGCAGATCATGAGGCAGAAGGTTGTGGTTGACAGGACATGGCAATCATGAAACAGAGCTCCATTCACAAGGGAGCTCCAACTCTTCCCCTCCAGCTACTCACTACTGTTATGCCAGATTTGTGGGACCCCAATAGACCCCCAGGAACCGAATCCGATGCAATCATAAAAGAGTCTTTATTGCAAGCTGGAGCCTGGACTTACAACCCAAGGAGTGAGTGCCGGCCCTTAGTTCAGTGAGGGTTTATAGATTTTTGGGGGATACTCTATTTGTCACAACATCACACAGCAAATCATTTCACCCCATGTGAAAATCAACATCTCTTAACATTGATTAGTATATTTATTGGTGGGAACAAGTTGGGTAAGGGTGATTGGTTAGTTCAAGAGGTGGATACATTTGAACTGATTGGTTTAAGCTGTGAGGGGTGTATGTGCTAAACTACATGGTTTCCTAACATGTTATCAATCACCAAAACTACTGGGGGGGGGGTCGCCTGGCATTCCAGGTATCTTCCCTGTCTCACACTGATTGGTTGTTGCTAGGGTTATCACAGTCAGGCCTTAGGCCTCAAACATTCTTTGGTCTTTCCAGGAACTAGCTTTGCAGAGTCAGGGACACCTAGCGCCACAGATCTCTCCTGTTATTTACAGACAAACAACTCAGCACCTAGCTATGTGCCTAGGAACGCTCTGTGGGTTTTCCAAGAACAAGGGTCACTCCCCCACCCTTTGGATAGGCCCTGCTCTGAGGTAGATGCTGTTTTTTTAAAAAATGTAGTCACATCAGTTTCTCACCACCTGCCTATGGTTACCTGCCCAGTTAATCTGAATTAGTGGATTAATTCACTTATTAGTTTATAGCTCTCACAATCATTTCACCTTTGAAAATTGTTGCATTGTCTCACACATAAGATTTGGGGGGAGATCTCATATTTTTACTGCTGTTTACTGGTGATGAGTCCTTGCTTCCCCAAATGCTGAGGTTTAACATCAGAGAAGCACGCTGAGGCAAGTGGAGAGTGGAGAGTGGAAGGCTTCATTAAAGGACAGCAGAAAGGACTTCCTCCCAGAGGAACAAGGGGACCCAAAAGGGGGAATCCATGGAAGGGGGAGGTCTTCCATTTTTTATAGCTAAGGTCTTCTTTTAGTCCTCCCACATTCCTGTCCTTTGTTTTCCTCTATCCTGCAGTGACAGAATGCAGGTG